AGTTTTCTGGAAAGTGTTTAAAGGTGAGCAACGAAATCAGTTATCGGTCACAGAAATAAACCATACAGTGAAAGGCTGGAGAAATTCGATCATTCTGTAGTCAGCCTAGAGATGACCCAATCCCTGTCTACAATATTACAAGTGACTAAGATCATCTAAACAAAGGTATTCCTCCATTATGTCATCAGAGCTCCTTCGTGGCAACCCACGGTGGATGATGTATCAGGAAGCGAAGAATTTGATGCGCCTCCACTCCTCTACACTTCGAGTTTGCAGCCTGTAGTGCTCTTTAGCGATAGTTGTGACTTATGACCCTACAAAGTAAAGCTTCGAGTGGAGGTTGGATAATCATGCAGCAACAAAATGGATGTATCCAAATTGACGATGTACTTGGAAATCACATGTTAGTCTCTGTGAATAGCTACCATCCATGCTCTTCCTTTACCCCTGCTCAGTATGTCTCACTCCACTCTTCTGACGGCTGCAAATGTTCACTTTAGTTATTAAATTTCATTGTATACTTGTTGGCATTAATTTTCATTTTGAAGTCTGCATAATCCGTACTAGTTTCATTTAGTATTACCTTCATTTTTTAACTCCAGCAGGCGACTAGAAAGTCACAGAATAAATTCCATTTACAGCAGCATCATGGTCTTAACACACCGCATATTGCAAACGACATTTAACCAATATTCGTGATTTACCTATTTAATCAATCAAGCTACAGCAGTCGAATGGCGGAACAAACTACACATTTAACCGAGTCTCATGAAGTTTTGGCTTACGATCAAGAAGCGAGCCCAAGGAAATCAATTTGATTTACAGTAGATCGGAAAAGCATATTAGATATTGATAGCTACTGACCTTGGAGCAATTTTCAACCCTCTTTACCAATGAACTTAGATGGCCACTGGCGCTTCTGGAGCCATCTCCATTTTCCGACTACCTCGTCCCGTTCATCTAACATTGATTAACTCTCCAAAGCTGCTGTGTGTCACATTCAACTCCCCGGAGCAGTTGTCCATATCACTTCAACGGTGGTATGAGACCAAGGGAAAAATTGGGGGACACATCCGATGCTGTGAAAGCAGACCCAGAAATATAAGGAGGCAGCAAACTGAGGCTTTAATACGACCCCAAGCTTCGGTGACACTAGAGCGATGCAGCTCTGAGAATAATAGTCTGTGTCTCCCAAGTGTCCTGCCTAAATCCATTGAAAAAAACTACAACGGGCCGGTTCTATCGGAATCGGCCAACTAGTTCCAACATCAAGTCCCTCACCAGCAGACGGTTTCACGTCAACTATCCCACAACACTCTGAGGTTGTTAGACTCACTGTCAGTTGCTTATATAGCAATGTGAGGGGGCTGAGAGGGAAAGTAGATGAACTCCGAAATCTCCAAGCACACCTTCAACTGAAAATAATCATTCTTACTGAAACGTGGCTAAACCCCACTATCGCCGACAATGAAATCAGTATAGGTGATATGGTACTGGTCAGAAGAGACAGGGATAATAAGGAAGGAGGGGGAGTTGCTATATACTTTGATAGGCAACTTAAATGTGTGCGCGCAACGGACCCACCACTTATCGAACTCCCAGACTCCATATGGTGTCATTTCACCGTAGGCCACACCAAGCATTTACTGGGTGGCATCTACAGATCTCCTACCTGTGGGGCAGAGCACAATCAGCTACTGCTCAGCGCTATCACAGGAATACGAGATTTGGGCTACGACCAAATCACCATAGCTGGAGATTTCAATGCTCCATCACTGAACCTCGGCTCCGGGTGTGCTAAGGGAAAATTTGGCCGAAACCTACTGCAAACTATTCGAAACACGGGACTGACTGAGAATGTTGGAGACGACACTAGGTGGGGCTCTAGTGGAAAGTCATCAAAACTAGATTATATTCTAACTAGTGACCAGCTACTCGTCGAAAAAGTCCAGATCATGACTCCTCTGGGAAGCAGTGACCATGCAGTCATAGGTTTCGATCTTGTCCTCCGTGAGCGTTTGCAATGGGATGTTACGCGACCATGTCTGTGCTACAGCAAGGCTGACTATGCTGAAATGCGGATGCTCTTGTCCGACGCAGACTGGCCCTTAGCATGGGACGACCTATCTGTGGATGAACACTGGGAAGTGGTAAAAAAGATTATCCACACAGCAATCTCGGATACCGTCCCTTTAGTCACAACACAGCCTAAGAGAAAGACGTCATGGTTGAAGAGAGGCACGCAACGTATTCTGCAAGCAAAGCGGAAGGCTTGGTTTACGTGGCGTGTATCTAAGAGTCAGACCGACCATGATGCATACCTCGAACTCAGGAACCGGTGTAATGCAAGAGTCAGGAGGGACAGAAGGTCATTCCAGGCTAAACTTGCTAAAAAACTCCTATCAAACCCTAAAAACTTGCACCGATTCATGTCGGAAAGAAAACCGACAAACCAAGGGGCATGCGCCTTAGTAGGCCCAAACGGTCAATATCTCACTAGTCTGGAGATGGCTGAAACATTCAGTTCAGCCTTCGCTAAACAGCTAAACAGCAATGTGGATATTACAGTTACGGACCAAAATGGTGGCACCACTATTTCAGAGAAGGAAGACCTAGCGACTACTCCCCAAATAAACCCCGCAATAGTACTAAGGAAGCTACAGCGACTCATACCTAGGAAGTCCCCAGGTTGTGATGACATCAGGCCATCTGTTCTGAAACAGTGCGCCGAGGCTCTCTGTAGACCCCTGTGCGACTTGTTCCAACACTCAATGGATTCGGGGACCCTGCCAAGGGAGTGGAAAAGAGCCATCCTTTCTCCAATCTTCAAGGGTGGAGACAGGCAAAACGCTGCTAGCTATAGACCAGTAACTCTACTCCCAGTGGTATCAAAAGTACTGGAAAGTATTATTGACGACCACATCAGGGATATTTCGATAGGACTAATATATTACATGAAGCCCAACATGGTTTCAGAAAAGGCAGATCCTGCGTCACTAACCTACTGTCAGCTTGGGACGACTGGACATCATGCTGGGACTTGAACGTACCAGTCCATGTGGTCTTCCTAGACTTTGAGAAGGCATTTGACACTGTTCACCATGACCTTCTCCTACATAAAATAAGCCAGGCAGGCATAGGTGAGCCACTTCTGTCATGGTTGAAGGACTACCTAGCCGACAGGCAATTTTGCACTAAGGTTAACCGAGTCCGATCATCTTGGCACAGATCGTCATCAGGAGTGTCGCAGGGTTCTATCCTAGGACCACTGGTGTTTTTGATTTTCATCGATGATCTACCACGCCGCCTGAGCTGCCCGACTCTCCTGTACGCTGACGACGTAAAAATATGGAGGGCGATAAAGTGTCCGGAGGACTCAGATAGGCTACAGGAAGACCTAAACCTTCTGGAAGACTGGGCGGTGGCCAGTGGCATGACTTTCAACTTGAAAAAGTGCAAAGTAGTGAAGTTGCGCACCTGTAGACTGCAGAATGCAAGTTACACCCTGTGCAATGAAAGCTTGTCCTGCACAACGTCGGAACGCGACTTAGGTCTAGTTCTAACGGAAAAAATGGACACAAGCGTAAATTACACAGGGGATGTAGCGAGGGCATATGCGGTCATACACTTTACGCATAGACAGTTAGGTGCACTCACTCCTGAGCTCTTTCTAATGTTGTACAAAACATACGTCAGGCCACACCTTGAGGTGCATAATATTATTGCACCCCCAATGCTGAGAAGAGACGCCAACCTCTTGGGAAGAGTCCAACGACGGGCAACAAAAGGAGTGGTTGGTCTCCGAAACAAACCATATGATGAAAGGCTGAAGAAATTAGGCCTGTTCACACTTAGTTACCGTCGGCTTAGGGGGGATTTGATTACTGCCTACAAAATAACAAATGACCAGAATCACCCAAACAAGGGTGTTCTGCCATTGAGTAGGTATAGGCTTCCACGTGGAAATCCCAGAAGGATAGCTCACCAGAGGGCAAGGACCCGGGTGCGCTCCCACTTCTTTTCACTGCGGGTTTGTCGTCCCTGGAATTCCTTACCGGCAGATGTAGCTATGGCACCGTCTTTGGACGCCTTTAAGCGAAGGCTGGACAACCATGCAGCGATACAAGGACTGCGTCCAAATGGCCTATCTCCTTAAAATCGCATACACCATTCAGGGTAGACAATTAAACTCGTCGTTTTACTTCTTTACATTCTCTCCCGTCTTACTCTCCTGACAACTTATTAATATTATAATTACTATTATTATTATTATTATTATTACTATTACCGATATATATATTATTCTTCAAACTTAATGAGCTGACTGTTGTTACGTTTCCTATTTTCGTTTCTGTCTCTTAGTCTGAATAGCTTCACTAATTATATCTATTATTATTATTATTACTATCTCTTTTCTCTTGTCGACAATACCGAAGGACTAACTGGCGAAAGGATCAACTCCAGTCACAGTAGTAACAGTCTTAACATACCTCATACTACAAACCACATATAATTAATCCCAGCACTACTCCCTTTGGAGTCAACCAAAGCTACGACAGTCGAGTGGCGGGACAAGCTACGCAGAAGTTTACCGAAGATCAAGAACCTATACCTCACAATCAAGAAGCGAGCACAAAGAAATCAAATTGGTTTATACTAGCTCGTAAAAACGATATTGGATATTGGATATTGGACCTTGAGGCGGTAACCTCATACAGCATTCATTTGAACAGACTGTAAGGCATGGTAAGTTTGGCGGTTTTCTAATGTTCAAACCATGCTTGTCTACTTTCAGGTTGGCTGCGAAGTATGCAGGGATTGGTTACCCAAGATGAGGCAACGGATGACCAATAGGAGTGCCCCTTCCCTCTTATCTAATTGTATTGCGATTGGTTGTAAATATAATACTTGACCTTGAGTCTTCGTTCTTACTAGCACGCAACACTTGTGTGATCACGCTGCTAACGTGCGCTTTGCTCTCTGTTTCAGATCATTGCTTGACGAGTGGGATTACAAGACAGGTGAGTAAGGTGATACAGATAGTTTAGAAGCAATAGCAGGAAAAGTAGACAATTTGTATGTTAACCAGTCTTCAGACCTCGTTACCAGTCAGAATTTACGAATATATATTTCCGACTGGTTTTATTTATGTACCATATGTAAAACAGCATATTACTCGTGTATACATAGCCGCAACAATCGCCCCTGAAGATGTCAAATTGACTTTAAGGCAATAAGATGACAAATTTGCAAGATTGTTTTACATGCTAATTTAGTATCCACAACTCTAAACCGTATAGAGTTTCACGAGTTTTGTTTGGAGTACTGAGTTCATCTCGTTTGTAGTATTTTTCAGGCGAATTGGTAATTAAAAGTGGACAATAAGTTAGCCTAAGGAATGTCAAGGTTGAATTTGGACATTCACTATGAGATTTTCAAATCTCATCATGTTATTGAATGTTTTGTTTTGGTTTACCAAAACTATATAATGTGCTCAATATATTGAGCACATTATATCATCTCTTTCACATAGATATTGGTGCGCTCCTTGAATACGACGTACGTTTTTCTCTCTAACCGGAAATATCTACTTTTGTGAATTATTCGTTTGGGAAACCCATCCGGCGAATTTTATTCAACCATTTCTTCTTCACCGAGCCTGTGTGGTACTTCCCGCTGTCTCGAACTACTGCCAAAGCTTCAGGTGCTACTTCTGTAGCAACATCCTCCTCACTCTTTCAAATATACAGGACTTGTTGATCTGTTACATGATTGCTGTGAAGCTGACCATAACCCGAAAGTTACAGGTAAAGTCGAAAGCTTTTACTTATATACTTTATTCTTCTGTCCTGTGCTTTCTATTGTCTTTTACTGTCAGTCTATTGGACAAAATAACTCCACTGTCTCTAATTATTTAATCATCAGTATTTAGGAGTAATATGACGATAGATTCTCACCCTAAGATAAGTAATGGGACACCATACTCCGTGGTCACCAGGGCTTCAGCCAAATTGATCAAACAGGTGAAGGTGATGGACTCTCGCATACCGGTCTTGAAGACCAGGGCAGATATTCCCTGCTCGTACAGATTGCCCATGTCGCCACAGTCCTACAGTGAAACTTTGCAAAGTCAACCAAGTGGATGCGGCTCCATCCCTGTTAACACGATTAGGTTAACAGAGCTGAGTGGGAAACTGCACTAAGTGAGAATTGTATAACACCCATCTCCATATTAGGCCATGAAACAAACAGGAAGGCCGAAAAGAAACGTTCACGACGTCGAAAGACAACAAAGACGTTCCCCAAGAAGGTAAACGATTGCGAGGTCTGCGATTCTGTTGTCGAACAAGCAGACTCTGCCTTCGAATGCAACTTTTGCAAGCGATGGGTACATTGTAGACGCAACACTGGGTTACCAAAAGTATATTATGATTTTATGCGTAAGAACCCATGCCCATGGTTCTGGTACATATGCTCAAGTTGCCGTCCTGATGCAGCCTGGTGTAGTTCTTTGAAAGCTAAAGATGGCGTAGAAGTATCAGGGAAAAACCTGAAACGTTCTAATCCCACCAACTCGGAAAATAGTACAATTGCACGTGAATCGGGGATATCAAAATCCACACCGGTTAAACTTGCAATTCTTGCCATAACCGCTCCAGACACAGAGGCTAAAGCACCACGGGCATCTGTCGCTGGAAAAAGACCCTTATCGTCTGCCAGTAACAGTGGCCACGGCGCTGAGACACACAATAATATCCAGTCGCACCAGACGGAACAAAACGGTCTTAAAGGGGATGACAAATGTGCGAGGACCGAGCCTAAGTCCACGGTTAGTAGATCAAATTGTGTAATCCTCTTTAGTGTACCAGACTGTAGTAGTAGTCTGCTGAAAGATAGGGCCCTATTTGATCAGGAACGGTGGTCCATCTTGTGTAGCACACTGGGTTTGGACATCAAACCAGTAAATCTATGCAGATTGTATAGGGACACTGCTGCACCTGAAGGCAAACCATCCCCACTGAGGGTAACATTGGGTTCGACCGAGGATGTCGAAAAAGTTTTACTGACTTCTCAAGTCCTTTCTATAGGGACGGCCTGCAGCATACGTGGCCATGGACAGGCCATGGAAGGAAAGACAGATGGCGAGGGAGTCGCCAAAGCTTATTCCTTCTACCTCCATGGTTGTTCACGGCATTCCCGAACTGGTAACTGGGACCGCTTGCGAGAAGCATTGTCACGATGTACAGCAATCGAGATGGTTGGCATCCCAGATGGCTCTGGGGAGTTCAGGGACTGTCTCTATTTATAGACTGCCTCGACCCACTCACCTTATGTCAATTAACACGCCACGTCTGTTAACTGTCAAGTTCAGCTCCCGAAACCAGTTGACTACTGCTCTCCAGAGATGGTACGAGACCAAGGACAAGGTCAGCAGACACATTCGCTGCTGCGAGAGCCGGCCTCGTACCCAAAGGAGAGAACAAAGCGTTGTCAAAGAAAATCCTCAACATTCTTGTTCGTTTTTTCACACTCTGTATATCTCGACCATTTTGCTATCGCTTACGCCAGTAAATATGCTAGTAGTATCTACTTTTCTAACACCTTCAAACACTGTTTAAATTTTGGCTTTGCTACCGATATGCTAATATGTTGTTGTCAAAACTGACTGAGATAACTTTAATCTATGTAGAACTTTATTTATTGTTAACGTACTAACTGGATGCAATATTGTAGTAAAAATGCTGAGAATTCCATTCTGTATCACAAGTACTGATTTGGAATAAAGCTATTATCTTATCTTAGTCACACTACAGCGGTGCAGCACGGACGATAATAGCCAGTGTCATTCAAGTGCTCCGATTGAACTAGAAGAAAAAAACGCCAACAGACCGGGTCCTGGGGAATCAGCCAACTAGTTCGTAGGATAACTCCTCAACCGACAGCCCACATCAAGTCAACCACCCCCAATGTGGGGACGTGGTGAGACTGACTACCAGTTGCCTGTACAGTAATGTGAGAGGGCTAAGAGGCAAAATAGCAGAACTTAGACACCTACAATCATAGGTGAATTCCAAAATCATAATACTGACGGAAACCTGGCTAACCCCTACGGTGGCAGACAGGGAAGTCGGTATAAATGATATGGTCCTAGTCAGGCGAGATAGGGACCTGAAAGAAGAAGGTGGAGTCGCCATATACGTCGACAAACAGCTCAGATGTGTTCACGCAATGGACCCTCCCCTCACTGAGCTCCCTAACTCCATATAGTGCCATTTCACCGTTGGGTACTGCAAATATCTAGTGGGCAGCATTTGTCGATCACCTTCATGTGGAGCAGACCACAACCAGTTACTGCTAAATACAATTTCAGCGACACAAGACATGGGTTACGATCAAATTGTCATAGCTGGCGACTTCAATGCCCCATCTCTTAACTTGGTGTCGGGATACGCCCATGATAGATTTGATCGAAATCTGCTGCATACCATCAGGAAGGCTGGATTCACAGAAAATGTCAGGATGGTGGATACTAGATGGGAAGTCTTCTAGACTGGATTATGTGCTCACTAGTGACCAGCTACTAGTGGAAAACGTTCAGATCACGACTCTCATAGGTAGTAGTGTCCACGCGGTCATAGTATTCGACATAGCCCTCCGCGAGCGCTTACAGGGGGACAATACACAGCCCTATCTGTGTTATAACAAAGCCAATTACACAAAAATGCGAGGACTTCTGTCTGAAGCAAATTGGCCTAAAAATGGACAGAGCTAACAGTAGAAGAACACTGGAGAGTGGTAAAGGAGATCATTCACCAGGAGGTCTCAGACACTGTTCCTTTAGTCACACCAAAAGCTAGGAAGCAACGCTCATGGCTAAAACAGGGGACACAACGCCTTCTGCAGGTGAAGCGAAAAGGCCTGGTTTGCGTGGCGACGATCGAAGTCAACCCGAAAATAAAGTGTACCTTGAACTCAGGAATCGATGTAACATACGAGTCCGGAGTGATAGGAAGACATTTCAGGGAAACCTCGCCAATAAGCTTCTCGTGAACCCCAAAGGCCTATACAGGTTTATGTCTGAAAGAAAACCGACCAACCAGGGAGCGTGCAATCTAGTGGGTTCTGATGGGAAATCTCTTACTAGTCTTGAAATGGCAGAGACATTCAGCCTAGCCTTTCACAGGCAACTAAACAGTAACGAGGATATTACCCCCACAGAACATCAAGATTACAATGCAAAACCAACGCGCGAAAACCTGCTGGGTACATTTCAAACTACCCCGGCTATGGTACTTGTAAAACTGGGAAAGTTGACTTCTGGAAAGTCTTCAGGTTGTGGTGACATCAGACTATCCGTCCTGAAGCAGTATTCAGAAAGTGTCTGCCAACTCCTAAGTGATCTGTTTCAACACTCCTTTGGTGTAGGGAGACTTCCATGTGAATGGAAACGAGCCATCCTATCCCCTATCTTCAAGGGTGGTGACCGGCAGAATGCCACCAGTTACAGACCAGTTGCTCTACTTCCAGTGATATCTAAGATATTGGAAAGTCTCATTGACGACCACATGAAAAAATACTTCGACGGGACTAACCTACTCCATGAAGCACAACACAGTTTCAGGAGGGGAAGATCCTGCGTGATCTTCTACTAGCTTGGAACGATTGGACACTATCCTGGGACGAAAAGGTACCAGTCCATGTGATCTTTCTCGACTTTGCGAAAGCATTCGACACAGTTCACCATGGTCTGCTCCTTCACAAAATAAGCAAGGCGGGTGTTTCTGGAGCACTTCTCGTATCGCTGAAAGATTACTTAGGCGAGAGAGAATTCTGCACCAAAGTCAACCGCATCTGATCATCCTGGCACACCTTGGCATCAGGGGTCCCTCAGGGTTCTATCCTAGGGCCGTTGATGTTTTTGATTTTTATCAACGACCTGCCTTCTCAACTGAACTGCTCTGTGCTCTGCAACTTCATTCCGGCAGGTCACAGAGTGTAAATTACACCCTTGGTGGCCAGAACTTGAGTTGTGTTCCGTCAGAGCGCGATCTAGGTCTTATTCCAACAGAAAAGCTAGACACCAGTGGAAATAACAGGAGGGACGTCGCCAAAGCCTACGCAACTTTACACTTTATGCATAAGCAGCTGGGAGCTCTTACTCCCGAACTGTTCTTAAGGTTATATAAGACACATGTGAGGCCACACCTTGAGGTGCATAATATCATTGCTCCTCCGCTACCCAAAAGGGATGCTAACATTCTAGAAAGTGTCCAGAGACGAGCGACAAAATGGGTGATCGGCCTCCACAACAAATCATACGAAGAAAGACTGAAGAAATTAAGTCTTTTCACACTTAGTTACCGTAGGCGCAGGGGAGACCTCATCACCGTCTACAAGATCTTAAATGACCAGGCCCACCCAAATAAAAGCATCCTGCCATTAAGTGATTATAGGCTTCCACGAGGTAACCCGCTAAGGATAGCACACCAGAGACCAAAGACTCGAGTGCGTTCACACTTCTTTTCGCTTCGAGTTTGCCGTCTCTGAAACGCTTTACCGGCGGCCGTGACTACAGCGCCATCTGTGGAGATTTTTAAGCGGAAGCTGGACAATCATGCAGAAATGCGAGGTTTGTGTCTCAATGGCTTATCCTTATAAAACTTAAAACCACACTGTCAGTGGATAAGCATACAAACTAAATCCCCACGACCTGTTCTGCCTTCTCTCACTGTACCGACTACTCTATCTTTTCCTTAGGTCACCTTTATTATTTCACTTATCTCGACCTATATTATCTACACTACAACCTATTATTATTATTACTATTCTGCTTTTATGACTACACCGGATGACCAACGGGAGTTAGGTCAAACTCCATTCACGGCAGCAACACAGTCCTAACATACTGCATACCACAGACCACATTTTAACCAATCCCCGCACCACTCCTCTTGGAGTCTACCAGAGCTAAAGCAGTCGAGTAGCGGGACTTACTACGCAGAAGTTCACCGAAGATCTGGAACCTCTACCTTACAATCAAGAAGCGAGCTCAAAGAAATCACTGGTTTATACTAGCTCGTAATCAGGATATTGGATATTGGATCTCTTCATTGTTTATCTTTGAAACCTGGAAACTGCTGTAAAATGATTCAGGGTCCGTCATCATATAATACGTAGGTTGAAGTTAGGTTCTTCCGTACGGTGTTCAGCTAACGGGATTTGTTTATTTGTTGTCTTAGTTAACGCTTTCTCGGGGACTTCTGGCATCTAGTCTGCGCTTAAAGTTCTGAGACAGACTTTCTACAATACTGTCCCAGACTCAGCAGATTAGTTGACTGCACATCGTTTGGCTGCTAGCCTCTATGTCGGTGTACCAGCTGTTTTCGATCGAACACCGTTTTTACTAGGATGTTTCGTGGCACACTGGGAAATAATGAACATCTGTCTTCAATATATGTATATATATGCGCTGAATATTTAAATTTTATTATAGTAAATTCCGTGGTGCATGAGCCACAAGTGAATGTTGATATAGAATATCGGTTTTCAACTCAAGTAACTGACTGTTAGGATAGTCCATCAAAACAAGCAGCCATTAGATCACCGCCATTATCCACTTGATAAGAAATTCAACAAATGAACGTCTTTTCAGGAGATAAATAATAACACAGAGTCCATATTACAGTCTGCATCTACTTCAATCGTTACAGGTTTATCATCAGTGTCTGTAAGTATGGTATGTGCTTTGTGCCATCTAAGTGCAAAGTACTGTTACAAGATTGGCAGGAGCCTGTACCTGCACTCACTCTTGCGGGTGAACCGCTTGAAGTTGTTGATAAGTTTGTGTACCTGTGTAGTTGTGTCAGTGCCGGCGGAGAGGTGACGGATGAGATTTCCAACCGTATAATGAGCCACCTCTGGCGCCGTCGCGACGTTAACCTGGCTGTCAAAGGTCGGGTATACAATGCTTCGGTGTGGGCCGCCCTGCTGTATGCCTGTGAAACCTGGCCTCTCGGAGTAGGCTGAGGATGTTCGGCGACTGTGCGTGTTCGATCACCGCTGTCTCCGCAGGATTGCTTGCGTTCGATGGCATCATCGCTTGAGTAATTCTGAGGTTCGGCGACGTGTGTTTGAACACAGTGGAGATCACCATTCGTTGACTGTCGTCATCTGTAAACACCGGCTCCGGTGGCTTGGACATGTGCTCCGAATTTCACCCCAGAGGCTTCCGTACCGGTCTCTGTTCGCTAGCCCTGGGACGGGATGGAAAAGGCGGAGAGGTGATCAGTCCATGACGTGGCGTCGTGGGATGAAGGATTTTTGTGCTAGATTAGCATCGGTTGGTGTGTCACGACTCCCTGGTTGGGGTCCGAGACATAGCTCAAATCGATGGCTCGAAACGTTATCGGATATGGCCAAGAATCGTAATCAATGGCGAACGTGTTGCAATTTTCTGTTTTCTTCCCTTCCTGATGATAGTTAACGAATACTGTTTGAACTTGTTAAGCGTGACTGTCTTCCTTCCAGATGAAGTTCTTTATCCGTTCTCTACTTAAATTTTTCTTACTTTTGATCTATGTTGTTTTATTATTATTGTGTGGCGCATCCTTCTTGGTGCCATATTGTACCAAGTTTTTATGCGTTCAAATAAAATAATAAATAAATACATCCTTGTGGTGGATGGATAACTGCTGCACTTTACTAAAGATCTTTGGAAACTTTGAAATATATATATATATATATATATATATATATATATATATATATCTGTGCCTTGATGTTCGCTTCCAAATAAATCATGTGGCATATAAGTTGTTTGTATTCTTATGTTCCCAGCAAATGGTTTTTACCTCTGAGTTAGGTGGCTTTATACCAATGAGTCTTTATGATTCTTTATTTTGGACCAAACAAAAAGTAAATACATTCTCATATTATTATTAATTATGATTATTATTAGTGAAACTATTCTAGGTCATGAACACAAAAATGTTGACAGAATTCACTTAATTTGTCAATATCTAAACCATTTGGTCTACTATCATCGATATACTCCTTTTGGTTTGCAAATATTTTGTGTCTCCGATTGGTTGATCTCATTAGTTTCAGGTCTTTGGTTGACAGTATCGCTTTCTGTATACTTGTAAATTTGAGCATCTGTATTTGATTTTTTGCAGCGCCTCAGATCATCATAGTGGTTGTTCACTGTGACTACTACTTCTTTTTATGTAATCTTCCTTAAAATATTGGATAGTTTTCTGTAAAATGCATCTTAGGACCAGTCTAGACTTTAGTTAAAAAGTGTTGCTGGCAACCTAAAGTAACCAGCATTCTGTGATCGTTTCCATCTTATTCTCACTGAGCTGCTAAGATGAATCATTTTACTCGTTTCAACCCCTCAAACTAGGTCGGTAACTTGAAAACTGGAAGTTTTGTTGCTACGTATGAGAGCTTGGAAAGCATTATACATGCCACTGCATTGGATTTGTGTTGCGTTTAAACAACACAAACTCTACGGTTGATTTGTAATGGATTTTTTTGTATTTCTGTTTGTTGTCGTTGGCGTCGCATTACAAGCATTGTGCTTATTTTCAGTCTTATTCAGTGCTTAAATAATTGTTTTTATAAAAAAAATTGTTGTTAATCGATGTTTCCAGATTTGAATTACAGTTCCATTCAACGTGGTGATAAAGTATCTGAAGCATACACTGCTTCTTGAAGTTCTATGAATCAAGGTTCTCTCACACAAGATTCAACTGATGAAGAGTATGAAACAAGTATTTCCGTGAATATATTGGAAACAGAAGTACATCCTCTCCAACAGTTGTGTTCGAGGATTAAATTTTCTTTACCACCGTCAAACGAATATGTTACAGCATCTGACACATATATACATAAACTACCTTTTGATATACTTATAGAAATTTTCAAATATTTGCCAGCCTCTGACTTGCTGCGCAATATTCCAGCTGTTTGTCAATTGTGGTACAATGCATCTCATGTTCCTACTCTTCGAACCAGCTTGAGTTTGCGTAGTCAAATACCATCGGAATTAATCCTCAGAGCTATTTTAAGTAGACCAATGCTTCGAGTTTTGCGTTGCTTGGCGCTTCAACATGCTGAATATGTACTAGCAGATGCTATTAAATTTTGTCGTATGCTCACATGTCTTAATATAGGATTTACTGCTTTAAGTGAACGGGAAACAGTTATCCTGGCACAGAATCTCCCACCAACATTACTTCATCTAAATGTTGAAGGATTGCGTACAATTGAGGTAATCAATGTCAATTAATTTAATTTAATTGTTTGAAGTCTTTTAACTAAGTTTTTTTAATAAGGTTAGGGGTCTGAAAGCAGTTTAAGCAAGAAACATATTTTTTCAAATATCTGAATATCAAACACTAATAAAGTAGTGGTATTGTCCTTAAGTATTACATTTAACTCCACTAGTCATCATATTTTTCTGCATATATACATGTATGTATATAATGTGGGGGCATTATTCTGGGCAGCACGTTTGTTATGCTACAAAATATTTACTTCTTATGAAGTGTCCTAAGGTAAGCAAATTATCCATTTAAAAATGCCATCACAATTTTACTTGAGTAAGCGAAATGGACTCCACTCACTCACTCACTATGTGGAACCAAGTACCCAAATAGCCTGCCCGTGTCTTGTATTGTCCGATCTAAATTCGGTTATTACAGGTATTCTAGTGATACCATCGTTGTGTATGTGTGTGTTTATATGTACCTTGAATTAAAGCTGTCAGGGACTTTGGACTGATCCCATGCCAGCAGGCATTCTAGGCGCAGACTTTAAATTCCAAAATCAGTGTGTGAAACAGTTTTAATGGTGATATAGTTGACGAAAGTTTTCGTATGAAATAAATACAGATAGGTGTCAGTATATGGACAGAAATGGCTTTTATCTTGTAAAACTATTTTAAAGTTACGATTGAATAGGAAAATTGCCTTCCGAGAATAACATGACAGATTGCCTTAATGTAAAGATAGAATTAGATCCCTTCTCGTAAAATAGAATTCCGCACTAGGCATGTTTATTTTGATATCACCCAGTGATATAGTGATAATGACTAGATTGATTAAATGATTATTAGTACGTATCACTTATCGAATACAGAATATTATTTGCTCATTAGAACCTTTCTTATCGAGGGAAAATAATCTGAGAAGTTTATTTAAAAGTAGAGAAGCGAATATAGAAAATTTAACAAATGTTAATATTGATGAAAACTGTACTCCGTTTGTCTGCTATTTAAAAGTCATGTGCATTTTTAAAACAAAAAAAACAAACAAACTATAAGTACACAAAAACTCAATGAAAATGAGTTTTGGAGTGGTGAAGAAAACGACTTGTAGCTCAGGTAGATATTTTTGATGTAGGTTGAGTTCTATAAGTGTTATAAGATTGGATTGTGATGTTTTCACTGTCCTTCTACACAATGTCTGCAACTTGAACTTTTATGTAAAGAAATCTTTGGCAACTATATATATGTTAGCTTGACTAATATAGTATCTAAAGTCCTAGGCTCAATAATCATGCGTAGACTAAGTGGTGCTCGGGAGGCACAAACACGAGAAAGCCAGGCAGGCTTTAGACCAGGAAGAGGGTGTATTGATCATATCTTCACCCTCCGACAGATTCTAGAACATAGGAATTCCTACCGGCATCCAACAGTCACTATATTCGTTGACCTAAAGGCGGCATTCGATTCTGTCGACCGAGGGGTCCTCTGGCGACGTTTGGCTGTAAAGGGAATTCCGAGAAAATACATTGCACTGATTAAGGCACTCTACTCATACTCATGCAGCCAGGTGAGGGCTTACGGTTAGTTGTCATCTGAATTGGTGACGACTAGTGGTGTCCGTCAGGATGCTTATTATCCCCTTTTCTATTCAATTTCATCATAGATGTACTAATGGACTTAACCCTAAATGACTTCAGCAACTCAGGGATTGACTTGCTACCAGGGAATAATCTCGTTGACTTGGAATATGCAGACGATATAGTCCTTCTAGGCGAAGACGCTGACAAAATGCAGAGTCTTCTAAACACCTTGAGCTGCAATCTACGAATGTTTGGCATGCGATTCGCTCCCGCCAAATGCGAGATGATGTTACAGGACTGGACTACATCGACGCCTAGTTTAAAAAAAAGGAAGTGAAGTGGTAGAGCACGTTGACCGCTTCACTTATTTGGGAAGTACCATCAGCCCCAAAGGGTTGATCCCTGACGAAATCTCAGCACGAATACAGTGGGCTCGTTTCGCATTTGCCAGTTTACGCCGACTCTGGTGTAGACGAGATGTTCGACTATCGACCAAAGGGTGGGTGTACTGCTCATCAGTCCGCTCCGTCCTCCTTTATGGTTGTGAGATCTGGCCACTCAGAGTGGAAGACATGAAAAGACTAGCTGTCTTTGATCATAGGTGCCTGCGTTCTATCTCCTGTGTGAAGTGGTATAATAAGGTGAGCAATATTGAGGTTAGGCGTCGAGTGGTAAGTAAACGGGTGAAATCAATCGACGAAGTAGTGAAGCTACAAAGACTGAGATGGTTAAGACATGTGTTACGTACGCCTAGTCATCGCCTTCCTCGATGACGATCAATTTTAGCGGCGGTCAAACAAAAACCTGGCACCAGTCAATGAAATCTACAAGAGTTAGTCTAAGCCATGTAGGAACGTGTAGACTTCCTGGTTGGGGTCCTCGGGAAGGTAAAAACAAATGGTTGGAAACAATTGGTGACATGGCTCAAAATCGTTCTCAGTGGCGCAGATGCATCCACTCCCTGTGACTCATGATTTCCAATTAAACTATGTTGTTCTTCGTTTTTACTATTCCTTTGTCTCACACCTCTGTTTGCTGTCTCTATTATGCCTTTCTTGTACTTTATTCTCTTACTTTGTGTGGTACATGGAGTGTGGCGACTTGAACTGCCGCATGTATGTGCAAAGTTCTATGTCGAAAACAGACAGACAGACAGAATTATATATATGAATTGAATATCTATGCATGTGTTCACTTGTAATGATATTCAGCCTATCGTTTTTGCATTGCAACGTGTACAGCAGAGCATACTTATTCAATAAAACAGATATCTTTTCTGACTCACTTTCATTTGTATTTATTTAGTTATATGTGCTGATAGTAGTAATAATAATGGCACCATAAACGATGTAGTACGGCTGAGTGTGTGCTATCATTTAGCCATACGTTCATAGCCTCTGTCAGGCAAGTCCTCTGCCTTCACATGACGCGAGTGTTGCTCAAAAAAAGTGAAAGGACAAATGAGGATGTCTGGCACTTACAACCAGACTCGTGAACATGCATGTAAAGGAGCAGCAGAATCTGACCCGACCGAAAGCTGCTACCTTGACGTGGTGGTCGGGCTTGAACACCGCAATGACCTAATCAAGCTATACTGGCTGAGACTTATGTCTCTTGAGGTTCTACCATGCCAGGCAGGTTGTTTGGATAGCGGTTAAACAAAAAGCAGCTACCTCATCCAATACCACGATCCAAACAAATTCACAAAATTTCATGCCGGATCGGCCGTGGCCCGGATTAACAACGACCGCGCTTCCTGCTGCCGTGTCACAGGGCGGGAGTGATAAGTATGCTACTAAGGCACACAAAACAACGAAGAACGAACAAAAACAGGCCGCGTGTGACCGGCCACAAGCAGTTGTCCCCTGGGCTCTGCGGTCACGCAACCAACTTCCACGGTGTGGGCAGCCGGGAAGTAACAATCGCCCTCACAATCCAAAACGCACTCAAAACCTCTCTAATCCTCACTTATCTTTGTCTTCACCTTCATCTCTATTACCTTATCTTCCCCCCAGTGATGCAACTCCTCTACTTGATGGCTCCTCACTCCCTCTTCACTCTGTGTCCACTAAAAACGACGAAAGCCAAAAAACCACCACGGATAGTCTCCTAAAGCCACGCCACCAATTTCATATAGGAGCATTTAATGTAAGGACACTTTGCCAAATAGGACAACAAGCATCACTAGCTAAGACCCTGGCATCTCGAGCCATTGATGTATGTTGTGTTTCAGAAACACGCATACAAGACCCAAGTGTGGTTATTCACCTAACCCCACCTGGCCAACAGGATGAATCTTCAAAATTCACCTTGAGGGTGTCAGGAGATGCCACAGCTAGTTCACGGGGATTAGCTGGCGTAGGGATAGCTCTGAGTACTAGGGCAGAAAAGACATTGCTTGACTGGATCCCAGTAGATAGCCGAATGTGTGCTGTCCGTCTGAACGGATCAGTAAGAAGGAGAAAGGACTGCACTACTCGCCGATGCCTTTTCGTAATCTCCGCCTACGCCCCCACTGACTGCAGTTCGGATGAAACGAAGGATGAGTTCTACCAAAAGCTGTCTAGTTTGGTGAGAAAGGCTAAAGGCTCAGATATAGTCGTTCTAGCTGGTGACTTCAACGCTCAAGTAGGGAAATTGTGTCAATCTGAGAAGGATGTCGGTGGCACCTATGGAGTTCCGTACCAGCGAACCGACAACGGTGACCGTCTCCTACAGTTCTGTTCAGATAATCATTTGTTTCTTGTAAGCACTAACTTTAAACACAAGGAGAGATACTGTTTAACCTGGCGACCCCCATCATCAAACCAACGCTGGACACAAATAGACCACATAGCAACAAGCTATCGTTGGCGTGGGTCGGTAGGAGATTGTCGCTCCTTCTGGAACACGTGTGTAGATACCGATCATGCACTGGTCCGGGCTCGTGTGTGCTTACGACTGAACGGACGTAGGAAACAGCTGGCGGTAAAACCATTACGCCCCCAGCTCGATCAGGAAACTAAATCCCTATTTGAGGAGGAACTAACTAAACGCATATCTGAATCCGACAGCTGTGCTCACCCTGGAGAAGCCTGGAAGAATATTCAGTCAGCTATAGATACAGCTGTAAAAGCTGTGAATAAGACAAATCCAAAGGTGAGTAAAAACCACTGGATTTCGACTGCCTCATCCGAACTGATAGATGCTAGAAGACTTATTCCGGCGAGCTCCGAATTCAATGAGGAGCGAAAGCTGCACAAAAGGAAACTTACAAAAAGTCTCCGAAAGGACCGTGAACAGTGGTGGGTGACAAAGGCGAAAGAGATGGAAAAAGCATCGGCGGTAGGGAACATTAGGCAACTCTTTAGACTCATCAGGGAAACGGGAGGGAGAAGGCAAATCATAACTGAGACTATTTCTGAGAAAAATGGCTCCTTAATT